TTTGTCCCTTCCACCCCTGAACACATACGTATTTAGTAAGGACAGAAGGAACTGCCTACATGGCTTTTTTTCTGCCTGCTGGAAACACCCAAGCCCACAAACAGATGAGAACTTTCAGTGCATCTGCGCTACTTCTCTTCCAAGGCCAGCATTAAGCAGCAGAAGAGCTGTAGGTGGTCAGTCCTGGCTGATTCAAGCTCTGGAAGAGGTGCAGACAATGACATTAACAGTGACAGGTTAAATCCGGACAGCTTTCCAGCCAGGGATTTCTTACAGCATAACAAAAGACTAGCAAGAGCCAGAGGTCCCACCCAAGGCTGGGATGCATGGTACTCTGGACAAGGAGGGATTATTCCCTGCCCTACTGAGGGCTGTTTCCCCAGCCCCCAGACACTAGGGTACCCAGTGGAAAGGGCTCAGCCCTTTTCAGTCATTCCTGCTGGCGCCATTCCAATTTGTCTAAAGACACTTAAATATTCATCGAGAGAGAGCAAGACTGTCTCGCCGGGTGCACAGACTGCTCTCCAGGGAGACAGGACACCTGCCTTCTCCACTCCCTGCTCCATCAAATCATTAATTATTTAAAATAACAGGAAAGAGCAAGAAAAAGTCTCCGCACCAGACATGCTCACAGCCTGCTGTTTGTAGTACTCTCTGGGGTCTTGTGGAGACCAGGGTTTGCATCTCCCCTCCGGCAGAAGCAAGGATCAAACCTAGCCTTCCCCCTTCCTTGGGGAGGATGCTCTACCCATTGAGCTATTGTACAAAAGAAGGGCTTTCCCCTTTATCCAGACAGACCTTATGTTTGCTTTTCCTACCAAAGAGGGTGTCTTTGTTTTAATTCAATCTGAATAAAAGGAAAACAAAACACAAATCCAAAGCTCTGAGACCAGCAGCTAGCCACAGACCCTCACACAATCTGTGCTCACTCAAGAGCTTAGGGTCTACTTTCCCTTGCACTGCCAGGCAGGCCAACCCCGCTCGTGGTCCCTGCAGTGGATCAGCTGCATCAATGCAGTGCTTGGCTACAGAGACCCTTGGCAGTGGGATTCGATTCGATGGAAACCATCCGCTCATCCCTGCTTCTCCCTTCCCTGAAGATAGTTCTGGTGTAGCTGTGCCCACAGAGAGGACGTTTCAGAAGTATCAGAGGGTCTCCGCATCTCTGCATCCCCCGAGGAGGCTGCCTGCCTCCCTGCATCTCCCACCAGATACACACATGCCCCATGCTCTCTCGCAGGAGCAGCACAAGGGTCCCTGGGACAGGGGTGTCCCCCAAAACTGGCCTGAACCCAGGAAAGCAGCTACACGCTGGAGCTCATTGCTCACTGCAGCAAAGCGTGGCAGGTGAACAGCACTGGCACCCTCATGTGGTCGCTGGGATCAAAGCAATGGTACGGCGAGGCTGGAGGGCAGGGGGGACAGTCCTGCTGAGGAGGAGGGCCCCTGACATCGGCCGAGTCTGACCCAAGTCTGTACGCCAGCATGGTACAGGGAGGGAATGCAAAGCCGATGCTGCAGGGGTTAAGTCGAGAAAATTAGGAAAAAATTAGGAAAAAATTTTCCACAGAAAGAGTGGTCAGACAGTGGAATAGGCTGCCCAGTGAGGGGGTGGAGTTACCATCCCTGGATGTGTTTAAGTGTCGTTTATATGAAAGTTGGGGGCATGTGGTGTAAGGGAGAACTTGTAGAGTAGGGCTGATGATTGGACTCGATGATCCCAAGGGTCTTTTCCAACCTGAATGATTCTGTGAGAAATCAGAAAGTGGAGCTGGAAGCCTTCTTGCAAGGTCACCCCTCCGTCCTGTGACCAGCAGCAAAGAAACCCCCAGTTCTGCAGTCAAATCCCCTTTGCTGTCTTGGCCACTTCTCCCATACACAGGAGAAACCAAAGTCCAGCCTACAAAGATTTAAGCTTATGCCTCCCAGTCTTGCCCATCTTGGATTTGCAGAATGGGTTATTATTTTATCCTTGCACTACCTTCCTATGTATTTGAAGGCCAACAAACATTTACTCAAACCAAGGTGTCACTCAGTGTGTCACCCCATATCCGTGGCAAGACTGACTGCGAGCAAACATAGGAAAGGTGAGACAACACAAGGAGTGGGGAACAGTTATGTGCCACACTTACCCCGACAAATTAGATATGGGGAGAAAGCTGAGGGGGGGGGACGGACGACAGACCCTTGCCAGTGACCTTGCACAGGCTGAAATGAAATGGCTGTGGCAGAAAGGGTATCCTCTCTGTAGCTTCAGTTTTCTGCCAGGAGAGCCATTACCTGTTCCTTCATGAAAAAGCAGCAGCGGCTCTCTAGCCTGGAGACAGACAATACTGATGGGACCAAACACAGTTTTCTAATTTTTTGGCTGTTTTGGACCTTTTCTTCTGCCTACCTCAGACTTCCCTGAAATAGATACAGTATTCCCCCAGCCTCAGCTCAGCCACTGTCTGGTTCTTTCCTCTTCATACTATCAAAATGAAAAAGAGAATAAAAGACAAAACCAGACCTAGATGCTGAAACAGGAGAATTAACTAAAACTCTGAGGGAAGAGAGCTTTTAACCCCCTCCTGCACCCGCTGCTGTGCCCTAGCTCTGTGGTAGAATGAGAGCTCCTGATCCCCTGGAAAAGCCAAACCCCAAACCCTGCTTTCAGGGAAAAAACAACAACCACTCACCGTGTATTTTCCACAGAACAGAAATCCCTCTCCTCCAAAATCGGTTGGGAAACAGAATTAAACCACCCACAGCCTGCAAGCGGCCACGCTGAGGTAAGGAGTGACACCGGCCTAGGCAACAGCCGTGCGGCCCCCTGACCGCAACGGCGGTAGCTGGATTTCCCCCCTCAAGTCATCCCAAAACGGCCCGAAAACACCGTGTTTGTCCGCGGGAGGACTTATTTTATTTTATTTTCCCTTAAACAACAGTAAAAGAGGCGCTCTGCGGCGGCGGCAGTCGGGCCTCCCGTGAGGCGGCGGGGCCGCGCCTGTCAGCCCGCCCTGAGGCC